CTCCAGAGGGGAGTAGCTTCTCCTCCGAGGGCTGCTCCCCTGTGACACAGGGACTGAAATATTTCTGTCCTAACATTGCTTTCTCCACGTGAGCCATATTCTTGCCAGTCCTTCCTCCCCTTCACTTGTTATTTGTGTTCCTATGGAAGACCGAAAGAATAAAATAGGGAGCAGCCACTTAGCCCTTGAACTGAACATCTGAGGAAGAGGTTGCCCTGTCCCTGGAGCTGAGAGAGGATGTTGTAGAGGCGCAGTCACCTCCTGGATGTTGGAGTGGCTTGCTGCTGGGGCCTGCTGGAAAGCCACCAGAGGGACTCAGTGGGGAAGCAATTCAAAGCCTTTGGCTAGGAAGTTGCCTGCAGGAACCTGGCCCAGGAGAATCCACCCTCCAGACATGGTATTGGTAACGCCTCCTCTATCCCATAGGCGCTTGAGAAACTATGCCTCCTGAAGTTCACCAGGAATCTTTTTTTAAGTATATTTTTTAAAGATTTATTTACTCATGCATACAAGAGATGGGGTATAGGCCAGAGGAGTGGGGGGCAGAGTGGGGTGAGAGGATTCACCAGAGACAGACTGGGGAGCAGAACAGGCAGATGTACCGAAATATACTGCTGAGGGGAGCTGCGGGCGAGACAGGCGAGGTCTGCTGCGCCATGTGGGCAGCTCCCTGGCAGGCCGGGTTTTGAACTTGAGCTGCAGTGGCTGGCAATAGCTTGATAGCACTGACAAACCCTGTGCCACCAGGGAGGCCCATACACTAATTTTAATCCCTATAACTTTCTGGGAGCTTCTAGTATAACTTGATTGTTCTGTTTCCTTCATCGATTTTTATTGCTTCTAGATGATCTTGTGCATTTTCTCTAGTAAATATTTTGTCCTTGGGTCTCTCTGCAGCCTGGGGAGATGTCATTCATACTCACTGACCCTTTTCATCTACCATTTGTATGTATGATGATGACACCCTAACTGTATCTCTACATTGAACTTCTTTGGAACAATTGATCTGTATTACCAGTATCACCTTGAATATCTTTACCTGAATGTCTCTCATTGATAGATGCCTTAATGTTAAGCAGAGTCTTAATTTCTATTGAGAACTTCCATTTCCCCTCCAACTCTGCAATAATCCCTTCAGAAACCTGAGAAATAATTAAGAGTCCTTCCTTCTCCCCAGTCTGCATCAATCTCTAAACACCTAATTCCATTTCAAAATAGGTCTTGAGTTTTTCCTTTCCATAAATGATGCCTCACTAGATGACCGAAAGTCTCCCAATTTACCTCATTGTGGACTTGTTCTTCTACGTCTGTCCTACACACTGAAGTTAGTGTTAACTTTTTCCCTAACAGTTAATTTTTTCAACTAATTTATGCATAAGATTCAAAACTAAAAGTTAGAAAAGATACTGAGGGTAAAGTTTGCCCCTTACAGACTTGTAGTCACCCAATTTCCCTCCCCAAAGGCACATTTGATAATGTTTTCCAAAACGCATCTACTTTCTGTCGTCCATGGCTCATGATTCTCTAGAAAAGAATTTAGCATTTAGTATGTTTATAGCTTTTATTCCAACAAGTCTTTCTGTACGTCTAATTCTCATCCTTTGTAACCACCTGTTTCCTCTCTAAAAGGTCCAAACCTTCCTTCACTCAGTGATTTTGCATTCTCTCTCACCTTATGCCTTTCCCAAGTTCCCCCATCACTTACATCACACTATTCTTTGCATAGAAAGTTCCTAAATATAGTCAAGTTCAAGTCTTAACCTCTGCAGATAAAGGCTATATATACCCTGTCTCACAATGCCCTGTTAGGACTACATATATGTTCTTATAGCATCTTCATAATGCTTTACCATATCAGAGGCAGTACTTTATTCCTTTGTTTTTTGAGTCCTTGGAGTCTTAAATATATTTTAATGAAACATTAACCATTAGATATAATGTTACAAGTCAGCCAAGAAAATATTAGGCGGTATGAACAGCAGGTAGTACTCAGAATTTTCATTTCTGCCCACCATACCTTTAGAGATAGACGTGGAGGAAGCGCAATGTCCTGACAGTGTAGGGTTTACTAACACTGTGATGGCCGGAGAGGAAGCAGCTGACAACTAACTGCGGTTCCTCTATGAGACTTGAAGTCCTTCACCAGTGTTGTGTCATCCTGGTATGTCTTCATCAGTGCTGAGATGTGTTACCACTTATTTGTACTAATACAAGCTGAAGAACTGAAGTGTGCAAACAGTTTACTTTTAAACTCTACTGGATTCAAGGCTACTTCCTTGCCACTCCCAACTGCTTGTACTCCATTGCACTTTGCTGAGATAGTGGCAAAGTGACAACTGATGGCTCCAGAAACTGGGTGTAGGCCACAGCCTACTTTATCTTTGCCTCTACCCAGAAGAATGTGAGCTTGTGAATATTATCTGTCTTGGGGGTGCAAGGGGATATGGAGAAAAAAACAGAAAACTGCCATTCTAGATTATAAGCTCCTCCAGGGCGGGTACCATGGCTTTTCATTTTTGTTATCCTCGGTGTCTGGCAGTTAGCAAAACCTCGGTGTCTGGCATGGCAGTTAGCAAGGCTTTGGGATGGATCAATGGAAGAATGAAAGGGAGAGAAAGTAGAAGAAAATGAGAAAATCCCCCCCCCCATTAGTTTCCTGAGGTAAAGTTGGCTTATGTCATTGTTTTAGGGGTTATAGATTCAAAGGTCTACAAATGTATGTTTTCAAACCATGCCCACCACCGAAGTCCCAATGATTCTCCAGCCAGCTCCACTGGTGATAATTTTTATTTTTAAAGAAAAGGTATGAAGGGGCCTCCCCTGTGGCGCAGCGGTTGAGCGCTGGGTTGCAAAGCTGCCCGCAGCCTCTGCGGCGCCGGTTCGATCCCCGGCTGCTCCCCGGCCACCAGAGGAGGGTCCCGCATGGCGTGCAGACCTCTCTTGCAGCGCCCGCTGCTCCCCTCAGCAGTGTACTTCGGTCCTTCTGCCTGCTCTGCTCCCCGCTCTGGCTCTGGTGAATTCTCTCACCCTCCCGCGCTTCTGACCGTACCCAGTGCTTGTATAAATAAACAAATAAACAAACAAATAAATAAATAACTCTTTAAAAAAAAAAAGAAAAAAAAAAGAAAAGGTATGAAGGAAAGAAAAAACAAAGGAATAAAGGAGGCTTATTACTTTCTGAGAAATTGTTAATTACATTGTTTTCACTCAACGTAAGGGGGAAAAAAAAAAAAACCCAACAATAAATTCTGCTTAAATAGAAGCCAGGAAAGAATTATTCAGTTCTTTGCTCTCTGATTCTAGGTTTTAGTTCCCCAACATGCTTTTGAGTGAAGAGTGGTATTTAATGAATTAAATAGAATGAAATCTGATATTTCTGCTTTAAAAAAACTTTTATTACTTCAATTGGATCTTCATGGTTTCATGAAGAGAGACTGGCAAATGGATTTGTAAAATTCAGCTTTGGTTTGTTCCCTTATGATGCTCAGTGGCTAAACTGGCACAGCACAGAGTAGAGGTAGGTTGGGATTTTTTTTTCTTCTTTCAGGTTAAAAAAACAACAGAATTATGGTACTTCCCTGGTGGCACAAGGGGTTAAATCTCAGCACTATCAAGCTATCTGCAGCACCAGTTAGATCCCCAGCCAGGGAACTAACCCACAGACCTGTCTTGTCTAGCCCACTGCTCCCCTCAGCAGTATATTTCAGTCAATCCGCGATGAATCCTCTCACACCTCTGGCCCACACCCCAGTGCTTGTATGCGTAAGTAAATAAATCAAAATAAATCTTAAGGAAAAATTCTATTATTAATAAGCAGACTTTATTCCCCTTGTGATACGGCAGGATTCCATTCGTATGGTAATAGACTAAATCATACTCATACCAAGTACAACATTATTTGTCGATTGAGCTGGCTGATGCAACCAAGCCTTGCTTTCAGTTCAGTGAAAGTCTCTATTTTGCTGATAATCTAATATTAATTACAATACATCAAATTGTTGGGGTAACATCCCGCTTTCCTAACATACACATTCACAAATACACCTGCAGGCTCCTTGGCCACAGAGCGTGCCCGGGGGGCGTCTCAGGCGAGCATCCAGCGCGAGGGCAGGAGGGACCAGCTGCTCGGCCGTCTCCTGACTCAGAGTAGGCTCGGAGCTGCGGTGGGGCCGGGAGGGGAAGAGCCATCAAGGAAAGAGGACAGTGGCAGTTCTTTATGGTTTGAGACTCCACTCGAGCAGGGAAAAAATGGTCAGGACACAGCGTCAGCGGGTGTCCCCAGGCAGCCCACGCCGCAGTACGGGCGCCCCCTCCCCGCTCGGGGTGGCTGCACGGCGGCCTCGGCCTCGGGAGCAGACCCGGGGGCCCGCGGCGGGCGGCGACCCCGGCAGGCCCGAGCAGCCGAGGACCCGCCGCCTGCCCGGGCCCCGGGCTCCCGCGCGCAGGTGGCCGGGCGTCCCCGCCGGTCCCGCCGGGCGAGGAAGGGGTGTGGGGCCCCGCCCCGCGCCCCCCGCGGCCCCGCCAGGGGGAGCGTCCGCGCCCGGCGGCGGGCGGCGGGGACCGGCCGGGCGGGGGGCGCGGGCTCGGCGCGGCTCCCCCGCGTCCCCACCCTCCCCGCCCGCCCGCCCGCCCGGCGCGGCCCGCCCGCCCCTCGGCCGCCGCGGCGCCCTGCGCAGACGCAGAGCCCGGGGGAAGATGGCGGCCGCCGAGAAGCAGAAGCACGACGGGCGGGTGAAGATCGGCCACTACATCCTGGGGGACACGCTGGGGGTCGGCACCTTCGGCAAAGTGAAGGGTGAGTGCCCCGGGGCGGGCGCGGCCCCGGGCCCGGCGGCGTCCGCTCCTCGCGCCGCCTCAGCCTCCCCCGCCCGGCGCTCCTCGCCCCCCGCGGCTGCGGGCCCGGCGGGAGCCCAACCCGAGGCCCGCGGGGTGCGGCGCGGCCCTCCCGCCGGAGGGGGGGGGGCGGGCCGGTCGTCATGGCGACGCGCCGCCGCCGCCGAGGGGCTCCTGGGTGCGAGGAGCGGGGAAGCGAAGGTGTGAACTTTCGCAGACCGCGGTGTCGGGGCCGGCGCGCCCCTAAGCGGGACGGGGTGCGGGGGGCTTTCCGGGAGTCCCCGAGAGGCGGCCGCCTGCGGTCGGGCTTGGGCTCGGCGCCAGCGCCCCCTCTTCCCTGGCTGCCCCGGCATTGTCCGTGTTTCCGTCCTCTTTGGGTGGTGGAGTTTCAAGTGTGAAATGTGTCCCCCCCAGAATCGGTTGCTTTGGGGGTAGATTACAGAATTAAAAAAAAAAAAAAAAGGCCATCTCGTAGGAAAGGAGCGCTAATTTTTTTCGGAGCAGCTCAGCTCTTGACTATAAACTGGTCCAGTATTTGCGACGCATGTTTTGTGCTCTGAATGCAGACTCTGTCCTTTCGGGGCTTGTGAATGAGGAGTTTTCGCAGGTTCTCAGGCTCTCACCCAAACTGGAGAGCAGATGTCTCCGCATAGGACTTATTAGTTCATTAATGCAGTTCGTATTCATGTTAATAAACAGGGACCGTTTTTGAACTTTTTCCAAAGGAAAATAAGGGATTTCTTACTCTTGTGTTTCAACGCAGTATCCTGGAAATAAAAACTTGCTCTCCGGGCCGCCAATTATGCCACAGAAAGTTTAACTGCATACTTCTGGAGGCATACGTGTTTATTTCTTTAACATATTTGACTTGGTGATTAGGGATGTAGAGAGAAGTGGGGAACCGATAAAAATAATGCATGCATTGGCTTTGTGCAAGTAATAGACTATGACTTGCATATATATGCTCTTGGTAAATATTTGACTTGAAAGAAAAAAAAAATTGTGAAAGTCTATACAGTGAGTTGCTAATTGAGCCTTGCTCTCCCAGAACTAAATAAACACTTTATGATTTTATCTAGGGATGGAAGAGGAGAACCCTTTCTTCTCTTGACCTTTCTGAGTCATATAACTGGAAAATTGCTCTGTAGTCCACAGGGAAGCAACTGCCTAAACCTTCTTTTGCAAGTCAGCAAGGCCAACAATGTAAGAAAGTAAGAAGCAAATGCCAGAATAGGGTAATAACAGCCATTAGGGTGGGCCTGAATGAGACCCGGAGGATGGAGGCCGGTTCTGTGTCCTTGACTGTATTTATTTTGAGCTATTTATTTTGAGCTCTTCTTAGCTATTACATTGTCTTTAGTTACAGGTATTTGAAAGAAATAGAAATGCTCATTAATGTTCCTCCTCCCATCATTGTGATGTCTTGATGCCCTCACCCCTCCCAGAATTCTGCTTGGATTAGGGCACTCATCGTTCTCCTAATATAGACCTGAGAACAGTCATGTCTCATCTTACATACCGAGTGACTTTGGCATGGCAGATTGGAGCGCACAAGGAAATGTGTTCTTTTCTAGATTTGATTTGTGATGTGACTGTGACAGGAATCTATTCAGTGATTGCTGTTCCTTAATCTTCACTCCCCCACAGATGCTCCTTTTGAAGTGTCACCCACTGTCAAAGTCAACAGCCGAATCTCTAAATATCTTTGACATATTGAAAGACTAATATTAGCCAGAGGGCCATTGGTTTCATAAGTTAAATTTGTTCATAAATACATTAGTTAATATTGTTCAAAATCCTTGCCCAGTACATTTCTAAAGTTTATGCTGTAACAGTTGGGATGCTTTTTGCCACAATTAATAGAGAATCCAGCTCAGCTTGGCCAAGAACATCTCTTTCTGTGGTTCACTCCAGCAAGAAGGCCCAAGTACCTCTCCTAAGTCTCATTAGGTTAGGCAGGTCCTTTGATTAGGAATGATGTGTGCCAATTTGCTGAGGCTTGTGTTCCTAAGTAGGCATTACTGCTTGGGAGAAATGTGGCCCACCCTTGAATGAGTTGTTATGGAGGCCATCATCTCTTCACGAGATTGGGTAGTGTGGGGAACAGGGTACCTGTTTATACAGAAGTGATGTCAACAGTCAAGAGAAAGGGAGACATGGATCATGTTGGCAACACACGCTAGTCGTAAGAATTCTTTTTTTTTAAGATTTATTTACTTACGCATACAAGAGTTGGGGTACAGGCCAGAGGTGTGGGAGGGTGAGAGGATTCACCAGAGACAAAGTGGGAAACAGAACAGGCAGAGTGACCGAAGCACACTGCTGAGGAGAGCAGCGGGCGAGCCAGGAGAGGTCTGCTGCGCCATGTGGGAAGCTCCTTGTCTGGCCGGGAATCGAAGGCTGGGGATCGAACTCCTGTTGCAGTGGCTGCCGATTGCTTCATAGGCTGTGTCTTAACTGTGCCACCAGGGAGGCCCCCGTGGCTACATTTTAAGGAGGAAGGTTTTTTTTTTTGTTTTGGATAAGAAGGTGGTTTTATTTGTATGACTAACAAGGTGGCAGCTCTTTTGCTCTCCTGAGTGCTGGGCACTCCATTTTTCTGGGGGGCCTTCTGGATCACCCTGCAGCCATCAGAGCTGATTTTCAGCTACCCTATCTTCAAACTCATCTGCATTAAACTTCTTGAAGTACAACTTTTTGGGAATATGGATTTTCTGTCCTCCAGGTTTCGGATTGAACTTGGCCATAGGTAGACCCTCAATGACATGCTCCTTGTTCTGCAGCTTGGTGCAGAGGCACATGATGACTTGGACAGTGTGAACCCTGGCCAGTGACCTGGGGCTTCCCACTGGTACCCTGCATAGCTGTCTGGTGTCTAACATTTCAGGGACAGCATGAGGTCAGACATAAAGGATCCCTGGAAAGGGCTGTCTCTAAGGTCCCTTAGAGCAACCATACAAGCAACAGGCCACATACACTACCGAGGTGGCTGCTGTTTGCAGCCATTGAGCACCAGGCTCCATGGGATGGAAGGGAAAGCTTAAACAGAAAATCAAGGCTAGCTTGAGATTATGCTCGAAATAGCTTTTATTATTCCTGGGGTTTATTTTTCTTCTTTGGGTTGTCAAAGTGTAGTTTTCACTCCCTTTTGGAGTCCGCTGCACATTATAAATGTGGATGAACAAAGAATCATGTTACATGATTAATGATAAAATCATGTTACATGATACATAAACGGCAATTTTCCTAGAGAAGATGGTTTCGTTAGTGAGATAGATAGTAACTGACCACTGTCTTGAATGTGTAGTAGTATAAAATAATCATAGAAATTATTTTAAAATGTCTTTAGGTAAAACATCTGTATCTATAGATCTACATGTGAAAATAAATATCAGCATCAGTGAATCTCAAGGATATAAGATTAGGCCACAAAAGCAAGTTATTAGAAGAAATGTACACTCTGATATTACTTATTTAAATTTTAGGACACACGAAACCACTCATTCATATTGCTGGTGGTATAAATTGGAACCACCTCTATAGCGTCTGGCGGTATTTATTACAATTAACCTAGCAATTCAATCTCTAGGAATGTACCTGTAAGTATGAAATGATGAGTTAACTATTCATTACCATTTCTGTAAAGGTTTTGTTGGAAGTACCTACCTTTTTAACAGGACAAAAAATAGGCATATCCATACAGGGATATGCCTTGCAAATGGTAAGAAAAGAAAAGAAAAGAAAAGAAAAGGAAGAGACTTTATGTTATTTAAGGAACAATTCCCAAGATAATTGTAAGAGGGAAAACAAGGGGGTAGTAGAAAAATGTGTAGAGGAGTATGCCCCCATTCACATACAAGAAGCCGGCCAAATACATACATATCTCAGTGTAACTGCTTGCACTTGGGGAGAGTGGCTCTTTGAAGATACAATGAAGCTGTTACATTAGTCGGGAGAGGGAAACTAGGTAGCAGGGGTACAAATCATTATATATCCTTTTGAACTGTATAAAAACTATAAAAATAAACATGAGAAACATCACTACACATCGAGATAGTGGTTAGTTACCTCTTGGGAGAGAGGGGGTAGAAAGGGATCCGGGAGGAGTCATGTCAGGCTTCAGTTGCACCTATAATGTTTTATTGCATAAGCTGATGGGCTTAAGCATGGGTGGGCACGGGCATCTGGCATAGTCTTTTGGGATGCCTGGCATGTTTTGTTAAAGAAAGGTAGCTATTTCCAGTTTCTGTGTGCTGCTTTTAAAGTTCCAGAATTATTCCCCTACTCATTTAGCAGTGAGGTTTTTTTATTCTTTAGATTTCAGATCGGGAATGAAATGGCTAAGTGATTAGGGTACCTTCAGGATTTTCAGTAGATATTTCTATCTTTGTGGCATCTCTTTCCTATTAAAATTATCTCTTTGATGTTATGATTTTATTTCACTTAAGGATTACATTTCTGATAAGAACATATGTTACAACATTCTACAGTTAGAGTTCCTTTTAGTTATAGTAACAGGTTGTTACCTAATATTTAGTTGACTGAACTGCCATTCTTATGAGGGAGACATTGTGAATGCTGGTAATGTGCACATGGGTGACATGTAAGACTCCCATTTGTTCAAAAGCAACACCTGAGCAGTGCTGTAAAACAGTGACAGCCTTTGTTTTGTGTTTTGGAAAAGGGGAAAATCTTTGAGTAATGCACAGTCCTAACAAAGTCCTTTTACTCCATTGATTGACAATTTGACACCATTGATTGACAGTTGAATTGGCTGCAACTGAGTTTCGTCAGTAGAGAATATTTAGCTCAGTTTCGAGATGATAATCCAGAGTTTGATATTTTTACCAACCCTCTTTTTTCCCCTCCCATTAGTGGTTTTGAGTGGGTAGGTTATTCAGAAGATCTGCCCCAACTTGATTAATAGTTTTACTTCCACCGATTACATAATCTCTAAGAGTCTCATAATTGCTATATTATAGGTTTATTGTGAGGCTCAAGTATGATAATGTGTGCTTCCTAAATTATAAGACATATTTTCAAAGTTATTAGGCAACTGAAATTCTAACATTGAAATATATTGATAATTGGGTTCAAAGCAATATTTCTCCCTAAGGCAGGAAAACATAACAAATTATATGATGGCCTTGAATCAGCAAAATTTTGCTGGGAAGAAAGGGCTGAAAGAGTTCAGTTAGAGG